TACTTTGCCTTTCGTACAACCCGCGAGATTGTGCACGAAACAATTCGGCGAAATTGCATCGGCCCTGTGTCATTGGTCCGGGAGAAAAATCGGCAAGAAACGTGTAAGCCTGGGTGGGAAGCTACACCTCCTCCATCGCGTCTCGGACGATACATGCGTCTTGAGACTTCGAAAGGCTCTCTGCAACTCCCCGCGGAGCTGCGACCTCGAGAATTCTCCTGCGCCGCTCCAGGAGAATCGATGTCTCGATAGATTCGACAATCTTTCGGGAATGAGGCGTGGAATTTCGTGCGACGCATGTATACATATATACCGAGAGAATCTCTCTCTCTCTCTCTCTCTCTCTCTCTCTCTCTCTCTCTCTCTCTCTCTCTCTCTCTCTCGTTCAAATAATATTACTAAATAATAACCTAAATAATAATAAAAAATAATATAACTAAATAATAAAAATAAAAATAAATACTAAATAATAATAATAATAATAAAAATACTAAATACTAAATAAACCATGTCCCGTATCTTGTCGTTTGCTTTTCCCTCCTCGGCAAAGAAAATCATTGCATTCTCACATGTTTCTACTCAGTGACGTATTCGTCGTATCTCCATCTCCGATGTAGCGCGACGCGCGTGTCGTAAAAGAAAAAGATATATAAATTTAAATTCGTTAAATTCGTCGCGGAGAAAGGAACTTTCCGTCCGCCGCTTTAATCGGAAAAGTGCGCGTTCTCGGCGGGTCAATAATTTCTCCTCGGGCACGATGCAATAATAAAATCGTTAGACTAGGCGCATAACGAAATTAATCGGACAATCAGTGGCTTGAACCGCGCGCGGCTCTAGAATTTGCAACGGACGTTGCAGAGCGATAAGGAATGTCCAATAATGCCCAGTGGGTAAGTCGGGGACTCCTCGGCATGCGGGACACGTCAGCCCGATAATCTACGAGTCGATAACTTACTTGCCGAATTTCTGGTCAACCCGACACAAATTGTCCGTCCGTTCCGCACCTTGTAACCTCGCCTAATTACAAACAAATTATCGCCGCAACGAACGCTCGCCGCCGCAACTGGTCGCGCAGCGTCTCTCGACCCGGCCGCGCGACCGCCGCTCGATAATCTCTCGCGATTTTACGTCGTGCTCTTTACATTACCTTAATTTCGCTTAACTCTCGACCCTCGGCGTTTCTGCATGCGTCGCGCGAATTTATCGCGTCGCATAAATAAAAGCGTATCAGTCGGACCGCCGCCGTCGCATGACGAATGTAATTACGCGCTCTTGGCGCAAATCGTTTTCTATCTTGTTAAGAGACCGGCCGTCGCCGTCGCCGTCGCGTCGGTTTAGCCGGCGGCAGGAACGAATACGCGCGAGTCGCGGTCTCTCTCTCTCTCTCTCTCTCTTTCCGGAAATAGGTCCAGAGAAAGAGACGCGCGCGAGTCGTCAGTTGATTCACGATTCAAATTAACCGACCATGCATGTGACTTCTCGGTTTGACAAGGCGCGCAAAGTGCGAGTGATGCCGAGCGTCCAACGCATTAACTTGCGTGCGTGTAACGATTTGTAATTAACAGCTGAAAATTATTTCCGCTTAATCCGCGCCCTCTCATATTTGAGTTACACGCGCTTTATTTCGCAAATTGCGTGGCGGGTAGCGTTAAATGCTTCACGAGCCACCTCTCTCCGCATAATACGCGATACATCAACGTGCGTACAATGGGTATCCAGCCAGGCGGAGAGGGGGAAGGGGAAGGGGAAGAGGGGACGGAGAAGAGGACGCTCGTATCACTAAATGTCCGTCGTAAAATAAATAAATGCAATTACATGAAATATGATTAGTTGACGAGGAAGCATCGCCGTTCGATGAAATCGCTTTCACGAGCGCAACTCGTTAACGTAATGCGAGAGTTTCGTTACGTCCTTAAACGTATTTGTAGCGTATCGCGCGCGTAACAGAGTATTATAAATCTTCCGTTGCTGCAAATAACGAGCTAAATAAGTTACAACCACCGGCAATATTCCCCTCTCTCCCTCCTCCCTCCCCCCGCCCCCCCCCCGCTCCCTCGCCGCCGCGGCCCTCCGGGAACTTATGGTGGTCGTTAGAGGAGCTAAGTCGCCGCGCTCGTGCGCGCTCTCCCCCTCTCTTTCTCCCCCGGTACGTTCCGCCGCACGTTCCGAATAACAACTCATTACCGAGTCTCATTGCGGGCCGAAGGAATTATATCGTGCCGAAGGTGCTCGTTTTTAGCGCGCCACGTCCTTGATCACTCACACAGCCTCTCGCCTCTGCTGCTCTGCTCCTTGTCGCTTGCTAGCTAGCTAGCTAGCTAGCTAACTAAAACCGAGTGGGCCGGGCGGGCGTGCAGCTACAGCTGCAGCTGCACCCAGTTAATTCACGCCAGCGACCGGGACTGTACTCGTCTATACACACCTACCCGTTCACGGCTCTCGCCTCTCTCGCCGTCATACCCTCATCGCCATCAACACCCCTGCCTCCTGATTCTATTCGATGGACCAACGGCCGAATACATAGGTAGTTTCGCTGTTATATCGTTCGTTGACTCGGGCAAAATCCGTGGGAGGCCGAGAGAGAGAGAGAGAGAGAGAGAGAGAGAGAGCCAAAGGTAGGAGGGCCGAAGGATAGGGTGAATGTGCGATGTATCGGCTGCATACACGCGTCGTCCTCTCCATAGACAAGCGCAACGCCGATACGTGCTCGGAGACTGAATCGCTCTCTCGCTCTCCTTCGTAGTGTACAGCTGCGTGTTGCAAGAGCGCGCGCCTGCCGGCCGTCTCCTCGCGCAAGTGTAACGTCCTATCCTCCCGATATCAAAGTAACTCCGGGAACCCTTTGGCCGGGGAATGAGTTAGAGTTTCTTCTTGGCGCGCCGAATACCATCTATCGAGGATGAGAGAGACCGCGGTGTCTGTCTTCGAAGGGAGTCTCCCGACTCGGAGCTCGGTGTGTATATAACTCGTGTCGAAGTCACGACGGCGGGCCTCAAACTTTTCGACAATTTCATTACGGTCGATCTGACACGATAATTGTTAACGAGATGGAGACTTTTAGACGGGAGGCCGCGAAATTATCATCTTTGGTCGGTATCGCATCGGTGATGGCAATCTTTTTTTCTCCCTTCCCCCTTCGCCCTTCCGCGGCGCGAGAAAATACGAGAAGAAAACGACGCGCGGTTGTGTTTCGACAGATTTTTCTTGTTATTTCATGATGGCGAAGCGGTGCGAAGCAGCGCGATATTTTGTGCTTCGTGCAATGCGTGGTATAGCTGGAATTTATGCTCGTAAGAAGCTTAGCTCTCTGTTTACCGTTTCAGTTAGACTGTACGACTGGTGGTATTCGCGCTCGCGTTTAGTAGTCGAAAGCGCGTACATAATAACGCTCGAATTCAAACTATTTCGCCGTACAATCGAAATTCTACTTGAAATTTCTGGTCTGTATATAGAGCGCGCGGCCGCTTCGAACGGTCGTAAATGCAATCTCGCGTCCCGTTAGTTGATTTTTAAGTCGATGCCGATTGGCGAAATTCAATTTTCAACAACGCGCGCAACTGTTTCCTCTCTTTTTTTTTCCCAGCGCGCTATAATGCGTAAACCGACGGTGCTGACGAGCGGTATTTTTACTTCAACGACTGCCATCGAGAAATTTGTCTTCTCGCTTATCGCGGCGTTCCATAGTGTATCGTAGTGTCGCGTCGTGATTGAATCAAACGACGATTGATATCCGATGATTATCCTTAACGTGACATACTGAACCTCATGAATTAACTAAGGGCTCATTTAGAATATTCTACCTGTACCGTTCACCATCATCCAACGTAGTCGTGCGAGTATAAAAAGTTGACGAATATCTGACAAACGCTACGCTGATTTGTCGCGCGAAGCGGATTCCTCCCCTCACCCCTGTGACGACAAATACCTCAAACGCTTTCACGCTACTTTGTTCTCTCGAGTCGTGTCGTAAAAACATTGAAAAGTTATTTTTATCGCGCCGCTGCCGAGCGGCGATCAATGAGGCACGAATGCGAGGGGATAATCCTTGGTAATGACAAATTGAAAGCTTCGTTCGGTGTTCTCTGAATGGCTTTCCCATTACACTAGTCACGATGATCCACTTTATGTGTGATTTATTCCAGCGTCGGCCTTTTATCGCAATGCGTCTCTCTCGAGAAGCGCGGAAGTGAAGCGCCGCTCGTCCGAACCTTCTGGCCGCGCCTACTCCTATTACCAAAATGAAAGTAACCCTTTGCCTTGTCGTATGACCATTCCCTCGAAAAACAGACGTGGCTTCGCAAAGACGCGCTCTAAATGGTTATAATAAATCGAAGAGCTTTACTTCGACGAGATTTAACACTGCCAGGCGGACAGTCATGTCGGTCTTGTGCGAGGAAGAGAAACAAAGAGAGAAAGAGGGAACGAGGAGTGGGGGAGAAAAGGGGAGAAAAACGGAGATGAAGAGAGGAGAGAGAGAGAGAGAGAGAGAGAGAAATTCGTGTGTGTACTTAGCATTAGCGATAAGTCTCTCCGCGTACACAAGTTCACAAGGCTGGTGGATGGCGACCTTGTTTTCAATATCTGAGAGACGCCCTCGCAAACTCTCTGCGCCACCGCGTTCCGCGCAAATATCGCGTACTTTTTGCGCGATTTTATCTTTGTCGACGTATTTCGGTACGCTACGCTACGGCGCGGCGCGGCGCGGCGCGGTGTGGCGAGAGACCGTTTCGCCTCCGCTCCGAGACGTGTGTGTCTTCTCTTCACTCCCAAAGTCGAATAAACAACGACTGCCGTACACGATCGTGAATTTCGCAACGAGTTTCTCGCGCCGTCGTTCCGCGCGAGCTATTCAACCTCTCGCGTCGTAGTAAGTACGTGACTAAATATATTCTTTTCCATTTTCGAAGCCCCCGGAAGAAATGTCGTGTCCCAGTTCACGTTCGGCACGACTACCGCGCGCGCGCGTATATTGGGGATCCGTTCGTGTTTAGTCGACTTACCTCGTCGACGTGCTTACACGACGAATTACATGCCCCTCGTGAGGATTGGACTCTCGAAAGTGGAAACTCTCCTTTTTTTCCCCGGGACGTAATCGCATCGTGTACGAGCGACCGTGCGCACCGCCGTCGCAACGCGCGTCGTGGCGCTGAAAGAAAATCCCTACGTATGAGTTATAGATGAAGTCGATATCTACGAGTTATTATCGAACGCGCGCGCGCGCGTTTTCGCGAAATATTCGGCTCTGTCGCGAGCAACGATAGGCTTTGGATTTTCATCGCACGAACGAGTGCTCGTTTTAGAAAAGACGCTAGTCGAGCCGAGAGTCGCGCGACTAGCGAGTCGGTCGTTGCCGAAACAGCGGCGATAAAACGTCGTGAAATCCGGCGGGAAATTAAATGGGTTTGTTTTCCCTGGGAAGAAACGCGTGTTCCCCCGTGAAAGGGACTGCAAGAAAGAGAGAGAGAGAGAGAGGGAGAGAGAGAGGGAGGGAGGGAGGAGAAGAAAAGTCAAACTTTCGCCGGCATGATATTTAACGTATAGCGCGCGGATTTATAGTTTACCCGACGATCGTAACTGTTCCGGATGCGGGAAGAGTCGACGGGCGCTGTATGCGGAGAGACTAGAGTGTGCCCGGGAAGTTTTCATTCCCGAAGTAACGCGTTTATCGCCCAGCGGATCGCGCCGAGAGAGAGAGAGAGAGAGAGAGAGAGAGAGAGAGAGAGAGAGAGAGAGAGAGAGAGGATATTTACGAGTCTTGCTACAAGATTGCGTCCAAATCGCGCACCTTTCCGAGAGTTGGAAAGATTCTCCCCTTGCGTAGTTTCCGAGAGTGCGCGCGCCGGGCTACGCGCGCAAGACTTTGGCATCGCGATCGCCCGCAAGTTTTTCTATATCTTCGCACGGACAGATAGCTGGGGGGCTCTGTTTGTACGCGCGGGATGTATGATGCCCCGAAAATCGATGAAAGCAATGCCAACTCGTGGCGTTCGTACGTGTCGGAAAACACATCCGGCGACGACTCGTCGCTGGGCGCGCTGGCGGTTAATTCTCGTCCGGCGATATTTACGTGTCGTAGTGATTTATAAGACGCGCGCTATGTTATCTCCTACATTCCGCCCGCATAATTGAAAAGAGCGAGAAATAATAGTCCGAGGGGTGTCTGTTTGTGTTCGTTTGTTCCACGCGGCCGGCGAGGTTAAACTTGCACAAGAGAAGTGCGATCTTTTGGAAAGTGCATAATTCTCCGCGAGTGACGATTCCTCCTATTGACTTAATTCGCTTGATTTAATAAGCGCAGAGCGCAAGCTCGACGGAACGTAGCTTGCAAAGCTTGAGAGCGCGTCGAGGCGAGCTGAGTGCTAAGTGAAAAAAATATTTTCCCTTACCGCTCGCCGGCTTCCTTGGCACGAGAGAATAACAACGACGTCGGGGAGAGCGTCGGCGTCTAAAATATCAATGCAACCTAGCCTAAAAGTTTCCTCTTCACCCTCCGACGAGAAGAATGTCCGCGGATCGCGTTCGGTGCGTTCGGCTAATGTCAGATGTACTCGAGATTTCATCCATTGCGCGCCCGGAACTTCCCCCGCTCCTCCCTTCGCGCCCATGTGTCACCCCGCGACGCGATAAGAAGAAGGGGAAAGAAATAAACGGCGCCGCGCGGTAAATGCAAGTCTAGCTGCCTAGAGAGCTGGAAACTCTATTTTATGGTAAATAGACGTTTGCACGGCCGTAGGTGAAAAAGCGAGGCGAGAAAGAAAGAGCGGAAAAGAGAGTTAAGAACGGCACGGCGAGTGTCGGGAGCCGCAGACAGCAACGGTGATGGGGGTGGGAGCGAGAGAGAGAGAGAGAGAGGAGAGAGAGAGAGAGAGACGATAGTTTCACCCTCCGGTTTATCGGTTTTCGAACAGGATGCACGATCCCACCCTCGCGCTATCGGCTGCACATTATTGTCACCTTCCAGCATACAAAGCGTCCGCGGGCATTCAGGCTTAGCTTTACATCGGGGTCGCGTCGTACCGGAGCGTAAAGCGAGATGACGTCTGACGAAATCGCAAGCCGCGATTCCTCGCCACGAACGATGACGGACGCTCGTGAGATGGAATTTTCCTCGGCGAATTCGCATCAGTGTTTCACCACCGTGACGTTCTGCGTCGCGTCGCGTCGCGTCGCGTCGCGTCGCGTCGCGTCACGTCGCGTGACGGACCAAATGTAGCTCAGCCGTGAAAAGTTGCCTCCGCCTTCTGAATCCCTCACGATTCACGGGAGAGACCGTGGCGTGTTAATTTCGGATAATTACTGCGCGGAATACGTAAGCTAGTATCAGTTGTTATTATTTTGCTATGCGCGAGAGGAAGATTAATGCGCGCGCGTGCTCGCGCGCGCGCGCGCGCAGGCGGTGTGTATAACTACTGTATTATGGAAACGAGGTTAGCAATAGTAGTTTAGCGATCAAACCGGCTTTTCTTGGGAACGCGCGGTGTAATTAAGTTATAATTGCGTTACCCTTGACGAGAGGGCGGAGTGTATAACAGTGTGATGCGACGCCAACGACGAAAGTTATCCGAGATTAATCTCTGATGCGCAGGCAGCTCCAAGAGATTGCCGGGAAGTAATGACACGAATAATTATTACATCATTCACAAAGGGGATGGATGGCTGCGAGCTGATTTTATTTTCATCCTATTATCATCGTGCGCTCGCGACGCTGCGTATGCGCGCGAAGATTGTATTTCAACGATATCTCGCAGATTATTTCTCGGTCTGCATCTTCATCTCGTTGTGAGTGTTTTATACTTTGTGTCAAATTTCGCGTTACGCGTAATAATCTTTTTAACGCTTTCAATGTGTCGCGCGACATTTTCTCTCTCTCTCTCTCTCTCTCTCTCTCTCTCTCTCTCTCTGTTTTCTCTGCTTTCTCCCCTCTCTCCACCCCTTTGCGCTGAACGCGATTCGACCGTTAAAACTTTGGCTGTTTTCCGCGCGTTATTAGCTACGATAATTATACGATAGGCGCTATAAGTGTCCACCGAGTACACCGGACTTTCCACCGTAAGTTGATCTCGTTAGAGCACAAAGAGTCAACATTATGTAGATAGGCATAATACACGTAAATCAGAGGCGGTGTTTGCGCTTGTTAGAGTATCAAAGCAGCTTGTGCCCGCCCATTCGCAGCGTGTCTATCTCGCTGGTGTATTCAACCAACCGCAGGGGACAAAAGCCACGCTAATATGTGCAAACTGACGAGGGTGCAAGAAACCCGCTGGCTGGATGTTTGCCGCATATAGCGCAGGCGTTATGAGAAATGATGCTGTGGAAATGGTATACGCGAGAGCGCACCTCGCGCGGACTCTAATTCGGCCGCGGCTCTGGACGCGATCAAAAGAAAAACGGTGAATGAGGCAAAAGCGGGTCGCGCACGTACGTACGTTAATTATCGCGTATCAATTGTCGAATCCGCGCCATTCAGTGCGCGAGTGAACCTACTCGCACACAACCTACGACGCGATATGTCACCGTAACAAATTAGGATGCCTAAGTGCTTGACTAATTCTCATGATTTCGGAATGCGAAGGGTCACAGTCAGCTGGGGCAATCGTCCTAACGAAGTGACGTTGATTAATCATGGCGTCGTATTGTTACGCGAGTTATGCTCATCCGGAGAGGAATTTGAGGCCGTCTGCAAAGCTCCCTTAGCCTCCGCGGGACAGGGCCGTCGTATCGTATATCCGGGGGTTCGATATTTTCTCTCTCCGAGCGACCACACTGTGGTCTCCCGATTGCACTCGTTCTCTTTCTGTTTTCCCTCCCTCCCTCCCTCCCTCCCTCCCTCCCTCTTTCTTTCTCTCTCTCTCTCTCTCTCTCGCTCTCTCTCTCTCGCTCTCTCGCTCTCTCGCTCGCTCGCAATTTGCGCCACGGCATCGTGTAACAAACATCGTAAATTATTATTGGTCGTTTTAAATTATTAATTATCCACAATTAATCCATCTATCGCTGCATCCGCATTTCCGATTCAGCGTTTCGAGCCCTTTTTATCAGAACGCTGCGAATAGATCGTTACAACATTCACATATTTTGCGCATTAATAACTAAATTTATTCCAATAAATCATATTCGTCATTCTGTCGTCGGGGAACGACAACGCCATTAATAATCGCATCCTGAAAAGAGCCGAAGAGCGAACGGGAAGGAAAAGGAGAAAAAGAAACGCGCAACGTCGCGCCGGTCCGGAGGAGTCGCGCGCCGCGTCTCGCACAACGCGAAGGCAAAAAGATCAGCGTCCGGCGTCGTTGCAGTTTATCTCACCGCCTCGACAATATCGATAGCCCCGCGCACATTGTTGTACCCGTCGCACAATATTTTAATACGGCGCGTAGAAACGCGCGGCTTACGACGCGGAAAATACAGCGCCGCCAACAGCGAGTCGGAGCCGCGCAAAAACTTGGCCGCCGATCGTCTCTTTAAACGCCTTGTTCGCGACGGCGCGTCGCGTCTAACGATCCACGGATATACGTTAACGGGTATTACCCGGCGCTGACGAGCGTCGGGACGCGTTTAAGGATTAAAGTCGAGCTTATGAAAGCCACTCCGCAACTCGCCGGCTACGTGTGCGGCGCCGGTTACGTAGACTCGAGCGAACAGATGTTCGTAATTGCTCTCCCTTCGCTCTCTCTCTCTCTCTCTCTCTTTCCCTCTTTCCCTCTTTCCCTCTTTCCCTCTCTCTCTCTCTCTCTCTCCTTCCCTCTTTTGCCGGTGTTATAAGTGACATGCGGCGCGTAAAGTCCTCCTGAGGACTTCCGTTGTTCGGGCGCCGCTGGTGTTTACGTGTCGGTACACGGCATTTTCGTGTGCATCATACGCGAAAATGTAACTGGATGCTAGTTGGAAGTATTCGCCTGCCAGGGCCCCGTCGAGTTTCGCGCGCGAACGACCGTCGTGTCGAAATCGTTGAAACGCGTGTTCGTGCATACGTGTGTACCGCGCATAATATCTACGTTTAATCGCTCATGCGTGAATTAATTATACAATTATAATGCCGGTAGCCGTAACGGTATGTGCACCTTTGTCTCCACCTCCACGAGTGTTCGAAGGTAAAACGAACGTAAACTTCGTGTAGCTGTAACCTACACGCTCCCCACGTAGACGACG